ATGTCAAAAACAAGCTAAAACAGAGTTAAATTGACTTCAAAATGATACAGGGATTACATGTGCTTACTTATAAAAATAGAATCAGAAATACTGAGGTGCATTCAGTAGAACTGTTCACAGTTTATCCACTCTAAAGTGGTTCACTCTCGGGACGTCCCAATCTAATATTGATATTGGAATACCCAATATCAGCAAGAAAAAGGAATATTAGAATTTATCTGCCCAAATCTAAAATCTTTGCTTCTATTCACTTTTGTTTAAAGTTAATCTATTTGGGAAGAAAGAAATGGGTCTCTTGCTCTCATACCTCAATTTTAAGTATCTCTTTTTTTGAGTAATATCACTTTAGCCTTTTCTATCATTCCATACTATAAAATATTCATGAATCTATAATAGTTTATGCTTATATTACACTCAAAGCTGCAATATTGGTATGTTTATATCTGTGAAGATGGTATGGGGAATTAAAAACACTGTATCCGGACACCCTACTTCACTTGCTGTTTAAATGCCCTCCTATCCCACATTATCAAAAGCAGCACAACTGAGTAGAAGAAAAGGAAAAAACGCAACTAGATGTAAACATCAAAGTGGAAAAATAAACCCTATAAGATGTTTCTTCTCTCATTCTTCAACAATTCGTTGCAACTTTATGACGTAGTTTGGCCCCGTCAAACTGTTAACACATAGAGTAGTCATGAATATTTGTAGTTTTACATCCCCTGCTGTATGTAATGTGCCCATATCACTAATAAACACAAAGTTCACTCCTGTTGCACAAAAATGTTTATCCTAATGGAGGAAGAAAGTTAGCCCACATTACTCTATTTGCTGTTTTTACTGCCCGCTGGTTTAAATAGCTTCAGGAAGAAGATGCTTTGCAGAAGCTTTGGATCTTAGGCAGGGTTGATTATTTAGTTCCAGTATTTTTATCCAACAGCACTGAGGCACTAAACTTTGCAAATAGCAAATGTTTTGTAAGTCTTAAAACATTTGTTCACATTAAATGAAGCCAGAATGGTTCTAATATAAGCAAAGAGATTGAGGGGACGTAAATGCTTTGATTCACATTTATTCCAGGGATTAGGTTCATGTTGAGTTTGTTTGGTGAAAACCGTGAATTTGATCTCAGTCCTTGTCTTTGTCCTGCGGAGCAGACCTGGAGTGGGACCTCTACAAGAATCTCTTCGGTCAGCATCTGGCTCAGGATGTCATCTCAGAAGAAGTGGCCAGCTTTCTTCGTAATAAGAGCCCTGACCGGCCCCTGGTGCTGTCCTTCCATGGCTCCTCGGGGACCGGGAAGACGCTGGTCAGCTCCATGTTGGGAAATCACCTGTACGGCTCAGCGATGAGCAGCCCGTTTGTCCACCAGTTCATCCCCACGCTTCACTTCCCTTCAGCGAAGCGAGTCAGTCACTACAGGGTGAGTCAGCGCCTTCCTGGAAACGATCATTTGCCGGAGCCGGGAAGACGTATTTCGGAACATGAGGTGTGTCTGGTTTGCAGGAGGATCTGAAGAGCTGGGTGAACGGAAACCTGACGCAGTGTGGTCGTTCCGTCTTCATTTTCGATGAGATGGAGAAGATGCCTCCCGGCTTGATCGACGTCCTGGAACCCTTCCTGGGTCCCTCCCACGTTGTGTTCCGCACCAACTACCGGAAGGCCATCTACATCTTCATCAGGTACAGAAACACTATCTGTGGAGGCAGCTGTTCCTCGGCTTAAAAACAAACAGCCTCTGCTTTCTGTTTCTCTGCAGCACCGCAGGACAGGAGGTGATAAACCAGCTGGCTCTAGAAAACCGGCAAGCTGGACAGGAAAGAGAGCAGATCAAGTTATCTGACCTGCAGGACGCCATCGCACAAGCAGTTTACAACACCAAAACAAGTAAGCGACAGATTGGAGTCTTATACAGTGCAGCCTTCCTTACCTTCTTCTAAGTCGTAGAGAAATCATATTTAAATGTCAAATCATTCTGGCTTAAACATGCATATAAATGTACTCTTTATGAGACGATATTGCCCCAAAATTTAGAAAATTTCTATGTTTAAAAAAGATCCTATCTTAAAATCAACATCATCTTCGTCCCCGCTTTCCTCCTCTTAAAAAAAAAAAAAAAAAAAAAGTATGATGGAGGAGACTCATCCAC